CTCGACGAGCCAGGGGTAGTAGCCAGCTAGACCCTTCAGCTCGCTGGCTGTCCAACCGTCAAACCCAGCTCCCCCGGAACCTTTCCGAATAGCCGCGGCGAGCTGGTTGGGAGTAGGAAAGGAAAAATCCTGAGTGTTAGGCTCGGCGGGAGGCCACACGGCCGCACGGCAAACTTCGCTCCGGGCGTGAGTGGCCTCGCAAGCTTTGCGCGTCCAGATGGGTTCCCAGTCCCTGGTCATACTTTCAGAGGTGACCTCAGGGTCAGGAGCCTCAGTAACCTTGAGGGCCCGAGAGCCTGCACGAAGAGCGTCGGTCGAAGCGCCTTTGAAACGGCTACGCCAAAGTTTAGACTGTTCCTGCTGCAGCCTACGCTCTTCCTCTGCAATTGCAACATTAGCGATGCGAAGGAGGGACCAAAGGAACTGGTAGAGAAACAGCCATGAGCAAAGGGATGGTAGGAAGAAGAGTAAAGGTACCCTCCCGATTTCATCAGCTAGGGCTGCCAGATTAAGGGAACTTTCTTCTTCCAACAGATTCCCTCTCAATGTGTAGGTGGATGCCAGTGGTTTGCGGACGATTACCTCTGAAGGAGGTGGCTCGTCCTGAACATGGATAAGTATTCCGAGTGAAACCAGAGAGCTGGTCTTGGTCCAGAAGCTGTAGGTGGGTGAAGCGAGTTGATTTCGTTGCAGTTGATGGTCTAGTGACTCTAGTCCGTGATTCGGCAGTGTGGTGTTGGCCTATGTTGTTGAGGCTGGTTCATAATTGGCGTCGTCTTTGCAGATGTGCGGCAAGTGGATTTGCGGAGCTTGCTGTTGACCAAAATCGTTGAGCTCACTCAGCGCTTGGATGAATTTTGGGGTCAGGTTAGTGATGAACCTCAGGGCCTCACTCATGCGAGCTGGGCATTTAATGACCCGCATCGCTTCAGCATCAAAGGGATGCCCCGTTTGTTGTGTGAATTGCCACTTGTGCGAGACTTGTTTGAGACATTGAAGCGCGTGGAAAGCATGCCTTGGCGACCGCTGGCGCAAGCGCAATTTCGAGAGGAAGGCATCAAAGATGCTCGAAGCGCATAAGATTCTGAAGCGGGACAAGGTTGCCTTCATTCGGCCCTATCAAGATAAACCTGTTGACTTCAATTTGGGGTGACATGCTGGTGGATGTCCTCACTTCCAAGCGCTTGCGGTAAGCGCACTCAAGTGGCCATGTTATGGCCTGTCAGCGGTACCCAAATCAGGAAGTGTCTGGAGTCCATGCCGCTCAAGAAACTGCGGATTGACAGGTGGAGTTTGCGTGCGTTGCTGCAGATGCCGCATGATGTCTTGTCGGGATTGGCTTGGTTGTTGCAACGAGTTGAACGAGACTTGCAAGACAAGTTGGTGTGGTCTTGTTGCCCAAAGATCTGGATAGTGAACGTCCTATTTCTGTTTCCAGTTTTGTCTATCGGTTGTACTTTAAATTACAGTCAGGGGTTTCCTGTTGGATCAATGGGTTAAGGACTTGATTCCCCTGTCGCCGTGGGACGGTTTGGGACCGAGTCTTGCAGCGCATCGGGGAGAAATGACGGTGCATTGTGGCCGTCACCAGGTGTGTTTGCTGTTGGATTTCCGTAAATTGTACGACTCGATCGAGTGTGATATCCTCATTGGGGAAGCGCTTGATTTAGGATTCCCGCCGTTGCTCTTATGTCTAGCCATGGCCGAGCTTCAGGGCAGCAACCTCATTTCCCCCAAACGGGGAGCGTTGCAAGGATGTCCACTGTAGTGTGGCACTCGCCAAGGCATTTTTGTGCCTTTTTTGCCAGCCTGGCGGACCCATGCTGACCTTGGTAGCTTTACTGACGACTTGGGTTTTTGACCTTTGTGGTGATGATCCTGAGGGGCTTGCAGTCAAGCGTACTTCGCTGTTGTGCGAGGCTTGCAGCCGGCCATTGGTTTGGAGATGGCTTCTTCTGTGTAGTGCTCTCCTGAAACGAGCCCTGCGGAGTTTGCATTCTCGGATTTTGGATCGGCTTCCACGGTCCATGGCCTCGTGATGTTCTGCGTGATCTTGGGGTTGATAACACTGCTGGTCGCTTGCGCCGACTTGGTACGTTCAAGAAGCGGACGGCCAAAGCTGTGAAACGGGCCGGTAAGTTGCGCCAACTCCCCAAAGGAGTGAGAACTACTCTGGTCCAAACCAATTGTCTTGGCATCTGGTCTTTTGGGTGTACAAGGCAATGGGATAGCTCCCTCTGTGTTGAAGAACTTCCGGAGCCAGGTGGGGTCCAAATCTGCTGTTCAATAAGATTTGGTCCAAACACCGCCATTGGCACTATGCTCGTGGGCCCCTTACTAGCTTGTGGCGCGTGCTCAAAGACTTGCGCTGGCAGGCTCCAGAAATTGATGACTGGAGAATTACCACTGATTATGTGCGGATTTACTTTGACTCTCCGGTTAGTGTTTAGGGTGACAGCGCTCCTGCAGGAGGCCCAGGGGCTGCAAGCGCATTCCACTAAACTTAAGGCTTCGCTCTAGCACGAATGATGTGGCTGGTCTGGCTTGAAACAACTCATCGAAACACTCGACGGAGACTGAAACACGACTCACGAAAAACTCAATACTCAACAAAACCTCATCCGCCGAGTTGTTCTTGGTTTCCTCCAATTTGGGGCTGAACACTGGTTTGAGGTTTTTTTGAGACCGCTGAAAAACCTCATGTGTGGTCGTGCAAAATCATCACAACACTGGCCATAGAGTGTAGCAGCCACACGCCACACCCGCAGCAACGTGGCAAAGGCCTCGAAGCTGGTGCGAACCTGTTGTAAAGTTGATGTAGACGCCGAAGCCCTTGATTCGCAAACGACACCTCTTGAAGCAGTCAAGCTGGTGCGGACCTCACTCTTGTGAAATGGTTTTTCAAAACTCTGCGAGACCGGCGTGGGGAGTTCTGTGCTGCTGTTGCTGTTGGGCAGGCTACAGTACCCATCGTAACGACTGCCGTGACACCTGTCCTTTCTGTTGTTCACCGGCCCCGTCCTTGAAACACGTGCTGTATGAATGTAACGAACTGGGGCCATTGCCGGCAGCAGAACGGCTGAGTCAGCTGGATGACCATACAAAACAAGCATATTGGATGCTGGGTGTTGCTCCCGTTGCTTGGACAGGTGTTCCGGAGCGTGTGCTTGATGGTTTGCTTGCGCATCTGGAAGTCGGTGGCCTTTGGGCTGATACAGAATCGGCGGATGGCGCCCAATTCTTCTTTGGTGTTGATGCCAGCAGAGGCTCCCGTAGCAAGGACCTTTGTACTCGCCTCTGTTGGGGCATTTCGGTCGTGATGGTCGTGGCCCTGCACGCTGCCGAAAATGGCGTCACGTGCGCCCCGGGCGGAAGCAGTACGCGCTCGTGCAGCTGTTAAGGCACACGTCGGGCCCATCTCCATCGCTAGCGACTCCCAGTTGAACGTGAGACTGTTTAAACATGTTTAAGCCTTTGGTGTTCACCCGTCGTCTGCGATTTTTTCTTGTCGCATCAGGATCTGCGGCACGAAGTGCGCGAAGCTTTGTTGCAACGGTTGTTGCGAATCACTTGGGGAAGGTCTCACCTCACCTTGCCTATGCTTGAAGCTGAACTGGGCCCAGAACTTGCCCAGGCCTACTTCAGCAACGCCTACGGCCATGAAGCCGCGGCAGTGTGTAGTCGCTGGTTGCATCGGCCGTGGGTCTCCGCAGGTGGTCTGACACCAGGAACTGGAAAATCTTTGAGTACTTGACGTCTAGAGCGGCGCGCAGGTCGAAAGATCCCGCAAGCAGGGCCGAGGCCTGGCACTCGGAGAGAGCTTCTCCTTAGTTCGCCCTTTACCCACAGTGTTGGAAATTCGGCGTTGCCTCATCCTTCTCTAGCTGTCAAATTGCGGTCTTCAAAGACCAGTCAGGGGCCCATGCTACCGAACCACTCTTGACTGGGTTGGTGGTGGAGTCCGCCCTAGCCATGAGTTGGATTTTCGTCGGTTGTCGCGGGGCTGTCGCAGGGCCTTGGGAAGCCGCGCGCTCGCCGTAAGCAACAGCTGCGAGTCTTCTCCTTCCAGCGGCCGCCAATCTCGGACCCGAGCGATGCGCGGGCGCTCGCGGCACAATTCCGCTCGGCGGTGCGGAGAGCGGTGCCATTAGCATGGGCAGCTGTGTCTATTCGTCTGTGATGAATATCTGGCTTCAAAGCCTCCCGAGAACCCATCAAGCAGGAACTAACTCGAACCTTTGTCGCATGCTAGCGACGTCACATGTTGGCCAATCGTCAACATCAAACGCTGGAGTGGCAAGGAGCACTCCGCAGGACAAGCACGCAACAAATTGCCGCAGCTCGCCACAGGGCGGAGGGTCAACAGCTTTGCGAATTTCGTGGCATGCTCGGTCTCCGCTGCGCTTGCCTTTAGTGAAATTGCGCCAAACGGCTCCGGTTTACCATCGGGCCAACGACCGAAGCATCACCCTCACATGCCCCGCATGTTGACAAGGACATTAGGTTTAATACATGCCTCGTAAGGTCGCCGTTCAGCAAGTCCCTGATCGACTTGACCAAGGACTCCACGTGGCTGCACTAACAAATGCATGAGTCAAGGCTGTCATTTCCGCAAGAGCCTCCAGCGTTTCTAACCATTTGCACTTCGAGGGAAGTCTCAATGAATTTGAACCATGCCGGAGCAGTAACTGTGCAGAAGATCTCTAGTTCGGCTCCTGTAAGCTTCGCAAGGAGTATCGCACAATCCTTCCTGCACAGTACTGATGGTCTGGCTGATCCTCAAGACGAGGCCACAAAGCAACATGTCCCTTGTGGACGTCCGGTGGAGCGAATTATGCAATGCAAGCCATGCGGCACGGGCGTCTTGCATTTCTGCTAACAGCTGACTAACATGACTCGACAGTGTGACACATTCGTGACCAAGATGATCCGAGATGCCGACTCTTCACACCAGTTCACAGGCTGCGACGCCGCGAAGCATCTTCAGGAGTTAGATCCCCTCAGAGCTTTCGACACTCCTCAGTCTGCCTGGACCTGCAGAAGGCCGCCGCGACTTCCAGTGCACCAAACAAGCACCAGAAGCACATCGCAAAGCCTCGTGTGACCAGGCCATGGCCTTAAGTCTGTGCGAAAAAACTCTTCCCCCCTAAACCTACAATGCATTGCTGCTGGCACTTTCCCGCATTGCAACTTGAGCTTGAAGCAGAGGCTGGAGTGCCTTCGCACAGGCGTCACACACTCGGTCCCTCCTTTTGTGGAGTTCCTGTGATTTCCTGTGGTCCACACCTGCGCAAGGCCGTCGCCGTCGAGAGCCGGGAGACCCTGGCGCGTCCAGGGCTTGCAATAAAACAGAGACTCTTAGAATCTTTAGAAGACTCGTTCTTGCCTGAGGGATCGAAGCTAAGCGCTCTGCGGGCGCCGTAGCCTTTGCAAGACGTCTATCTCCTGCCTTCCTTGCTTGCACTCTGAGCTCCTGTCACTCCAAGCCCGCTTCGACATGGACCGAGGTCTCCCGGCCTATGAGTCCAGAGTCGAAGCTGTCGGGCCGAAGGCAGAGAGACATTGCCAGGCCTCGGAAGCGTCCTCCTGCAGTCCGAACAAGCAGTTACAGGCTTAAAGTTCGATGCAAAGCGTCGCAACGGATCTCTCCTCATCTACCTGCAGGAGGGGCTTCGGAGACACCGATTCGCTAGCAGACAGAATATGACAGAATAGAAAACGCTGATCTGCCTGCAATCTGCGCTGCTCCCTGAGATCTGGCCTTGCACGACCAAGCTTCAAGATGCTTCGGATCATCTCGGAAACACCCGGAGACATTCAGAGTCCAGCGTCTTGCTGATGCCAATCCTCTGTGCCCAGCTCTTCGTTGGGACCTCCGGGAGGGCCGGAATGGAAAGGCCGGTTCATCGCAGAGCTCGAGCTGCGAGCTTGAGCTTCCAGCCAGAAGTCGTTCCATGGATGGGGGCAGATCCACGCTAGTGCCTGTCGCGGAGAAAGGGTGTTAGCGCCGGTGCCGCAGTGAGACTGAGCTCTGCACAGTTGTACTGCATGTCTTCACCCTTCTGTCCCATGTTCAGAGGGCCGTACCTGTGTCCAAAAAAATCAGCTGCAGAATGCTGCAGATCAGACTGGAGCCACAGCCTCTCCAGGAAAGGAAATGCAGCCATCCAGCCGCCACCCACACGTACCTGCTCAGTCGCACGCGTAGTGAAGTGATGAGCACTTTGTCAAGGTTGACAAGTAGACAACAACAGCGTGCAAAGCTAGATCAACAAAGGTAAATCCGCAATATCCCGAGGTTCGACAAGTCATTTTCAGTTGGCGGCACAAGCGCTATGAGTGAACAAATCCTCTGCAGGATCCGCCCACAACTGTGTCGGGAAGCTCACGCAACGGATCTGCAGACACCCGGATGATACACAGGGCAGCGAAGACTTGACCAGACAACTTTCGGGACAGTACCTGGCCGGCCATTCATGTTGCTCTGGCCTGCAGCCCACCATGCGTGACCCGGCAAACGATCTTCTTGCCCGTTTGACCTTTCCATGCTCGAGGCAGTTGCACAGAAAAGCAAGGGCTGAATCTGAGACGAACACTGCCCATGCGATAAACGCAGCGCTTTTCCTGCTAGATTGTGCCGTATCACTCAGCAAGACTCAACTGGAAAGGGGCTTTGCAAAAGTTCTCCTTAACGAGGCACCACTGAGGATGTTGGGGGAAGCGCTGCAGCCTCAGGTGACATGTCTTAGGCCCAGTGTGGGTCATGTTCACAGCAGAATAATGCACAGGCGTCACTCGTTCCAGGGCTAGAAACACGGTGCGCCACATCTCGTCTACCTCGTCTGTGTGCGGCGCTGGCTCATACCTGGAGTACGGCACAAGCAGGGTCTGCGATTCTCTGTCAAACTCTTGCCGGGATCCGAACGACGAGCCCTTGTAACTCGAGCTGCCTTGGATTTCAAGATGCCCACACATTCTTCCTGGATTTCCAGTGTCTGCTTAAATCGCTGCAGGACTCTCGTCTGTGTGGGTGAACAAGGATCAGACGCGACATGCCGGAGCCATTTGGGGGAGAACAATGCACGTCCACACCTTGGCTCGGTAGACCGAAATGGCTGAACAACTCATAGACAATTGCAACGGTCGAATCGATTCACTGCACTGCTCTGAGAGACTGTGGGCGGGGCTGTGAGCTGGACTCGCTCGAGCACCTCGACACATCAGAGCTTCCCTTCACCTAATATCATGTTGTTCCTCCGATGCACAACCACACAGATACGCTTCCGCCCACATGTTGTCCCATTTTTAACCATCTTGGAATTAATTCAAAAATCACACTCCGAAATAGGCTTGAGACGATGTCGCGCGGGACTCGGTGGTGACGAAGCAGGTTGCCTGCACATACTGGAAGCATGTTGGAATCCGAGTAAGTCTTGGCGTAACCTCCCGTACTGCAACTGTACTCAATATATCCAGGTCCCGACTTTGGAGGTGACCATGAGGCATGGCGCAGTGATGGCTGCCTTTTGGCATGACATGGCCGTGCATTGCACGTTCGGCGGGGTGATATTAAATATAACAAAAACCTCTATTTTCTCAAGGTTGTCTTAGGAAAACCTCTATTTTCTCTATATTTCATGAGGCAAACAAACTCTGCTTTCTGCTTTATCTATGTTTGAAAAGGTACATCTCTATTTTCTTCATATTTTCATAGGACAACCCGTATTTTCTCCATATGTTCAAAGTATAGCCTCTATTTTCCGATATGTTCATGAGCGAGTGGGTTGTGGGGGCACACAATGATCGCTGGCTGATAGGTTTCAAAAAAGGAAACTCATATACTTTGAAGCAAGCTTGCACGGCTTAAAGCGCCACCATTTGCCAACAGAATGTTCACATGATAGGATTCAAGAACACTCACATGCGTTCACGCAAGCTTGCACGGCTCAAGTGGGGGGTTGGGGAGGCCCAGCCCCCCCCCCTCCCCCAATTGCAAACAGAATGCTCACATGATGGGTTTCAATTACGCATATGCTTTGAAGCAAGCTTGTACGGCTCAAAAAAAGGGGGGGTGGTTGGGGTGCTTCTTGACATCGCCAACTCGGCAAATCTGCTTGCAGCAAAAACACAAACAGATAAAACAGACGTGAATGAACTTGGCCATGGGCTCCACATCCGGTGTACCGTTGTCAAGATGATGACCTCAAGTCAGAGACGGTGGCTCATGCGCCGGCAGTACCGTGAAAAGACTGCGTTCAGTGGTGCCTTCATCAAGTGGCCCCTGCAGTGATTGCACCTGGCACTCTGTGGGTGTTGCTGACGTACGCTACACTGACTTCATAAGCTGAGCAGGTTATAGTAATCTATGCAGCACTTCCCCAGGGCGGCTGATCAGGCTAAACAGAACGCTACCGCTTTCGTGCTTCTTGCCTTTGATCGGAACATTCCTTCTGCTGCACTCCTGGGATTCCCTGTATAAGGCCGAGCATCTTGCTTCAACAGAAGCAAGCTCATGCACGCTGCAGGTCGTATGAGTAAGCAAAAAAGATGGCACCTCCTATCTCATGCGAAACATCTGACATAAAACCTATGCATGCGTCCTCGCTGCGAGCATGCCGGTGACATCGAGCAAGTTCACCGCGCAGCCTCGATGGAGAGCATCGATCACACCCAACACATCCCAACACCCGCGCCAAGCAAAGGCAATAGTGCCATAGGACTACACATAGACACTACAGCACATGTTCAGAGCAGCACCAATGCATCTCTGACTGCGCCTGTCGTCTCGTGGAGTTAAGCGAGAACTGCAAATCATCGGATGTCCGCCTCTCTCATCTGCTGCTCTGCTTGCAGCTTGCCGCTGGACAGCTGCCTGGGCATGATAAGCTTGATTCAGGTGGCAGTTCTCAAAGTTGCATCGTGCTCGATTTCTCAAATGGCCAGAGAGCACCCCAAAACTTCAACAATCCTCCAAGGATCTCCGTCAGTTAGTTACACGAATTTCCATCGATCAGTCCAAGCGCTTGTCTTGATAGCTGGTCGAAGTTCAAGAGGGTACAAGCGACAACCGACTATTTTGAGCAATGTGGCATAACGACGATACATACATCCAACCCATGCCGGGCGCGCTCCACTCTGGAGATCAATGCATTCTGGGAGCGCTCAGCATCCTGTCTCTGTTGCAAGCCTTGCACGGCTCGTGCGCACGAGAACTGTGACTGCCGGAAGCTACCAAGAAACGATGCAGAATCCTCGTCTTTTCTCCGATGCAAACGCCGGTCCAGGCTGACATCAGTGCACCATGCCAACTCAAAGGCCGGTTTCAGCTGCTCCCGAGGTTGGCCTTCGATTTTGTCCGCCGATTGAGTCGACGCCCAGCCGGTCGAGACGGCCTGCAACTACATTTTTTCTATCCGTGGGGCAGCCCTTCTCAGACACAAGCTTCGATTCGAAACCAGCACGACGTGTCCGCATCGACAACACTGATGCTGGTGCTGATGCTGCTGGCACTGTGGCTCCTCTCTCTTTCCGTGTCTTTCTCCGGGTCGAAGGAGCGAACTCCCTGGGCGAGGGGCATCCCTGCCGGTGAGAAGGGAACTACAAAGGGGGCTCCCTCCCCGTGAGAATCTCGGTCTTTTCTTTCTGAAGGTGAATCCCCGCGCAAGTGAGCAATGCTTTTGGACTGCAAAAAATGAAGAGTCTGCAACGACGTTGCCCTGCTGACCCTGCTTTGAGGAAAGCGACTTCGCGAAACAACAAGCTGGACAATGGAAATCATGCCAACCAGGGCCCGGAGGCTGTCGTTTGTGATTGTCCTCTTCCCCCATGGAGGCGGCAGTTTCTCGACTTTGCCTCCAATGCTGCGATCTTGGCTCGCAAATCTGCTGTCTGCTTTCCTTAGCATCCTGAGCAAGTCTATGAGCTGTGCCGTCACGGATCGTTCGACCTGGTCCACAAACAAGGTGCTCACCTCCCCGACGGTTTTGCCTCCACTCTTTCTTGCCCGCAGCGTGCCTAGACTAATCTGGCTTTTGATCCGTCCCTACTTCTGCCGGCTCTCCCCGTCCATGTCGGGGTCGTCGCCATCCATGTGAGCGAGGCTGCTCGGTACCTGAGTGGTGGGGCTGCCCTCTTTGTTCGTTGCAGCGGCCATTCTTGATGTCGTCGCGGTAGTGTCACGACTTAGCAGTACTCGTTGTCCCCCGCCCCGTGTAGGCCGTCTACAAGAGGTCGCCTTGCTTTACAAAAAAATTTGCAAGCCCCAAACTCCCGCTTTGATTTCGAACTTGCCCGGGCAGTACCGCAGAGCTTTGATCCTATCCCCACGTAGAGCGGCGATAGAGTAGTTGTTATGGCACCGCTGTCGCAGCTCTCCCCCTCGGCTTTGGATGCGTCCGAAGCCCCCCGGGCCGATAGCCCACCCATGTTGTTGGGCCTTGTGGGGAGGAGTGAAAGCCCGGATCTCAAGTCCCCGGGAGCGAAGTGAACTTGAACAGATCTGCCCATATAGCGTCACTTGCAGCTCGACATTTAACATCCCCCGAGGGGACTGCTGCAACTACTGCCACTACGACGGGGCACGGACTCTGGGAAGTAAAGGGGAGGAACCAAGTTTGTACGATACCATGGAAACTTCAGGATCGAAGGCTCGTAGTTCCGGCGCAGTGCAGCAAGCGTGGTGCAGCAACTTCTCTAAGGTAATTCTGAGCATAGGTTGTCGCGGTGTTTTTATTGGAAAACAACTGCCCACTGAAGCAAACGCAATTTCCTGGTGTAACACACAGCGTACGGCGTAGAGAACCAGGCTATCGTCCGGGAGTATCACGGACTTCCGGTTGTCGCAAACTCTCCCACCCAGCGTCCTCGAACTTCAAGACCGGACAGTGGGGAAAGGGCAGGTCCCCCGAGCTTGAGTAGTTCGTCTCAGGCCCCTCCGTTCTTGGCCCCTCCGATGAAAGCCTTTGCGGTTATCTCCCGGTCCTTGAGAATCCCTGAGGCAGTGTCACGCCCTTTGGCTTCAGCCGGGCGCCTATCATGTACTATGGAAGGAGGCGGGCGACTGCCCACCCTAAGGGCACAGCAGAGAGGGGCACAAGTTTCTCGACCTCCCTTGTCGAGCTTGCGGTGATCGCGACGTCGCCGGACAGGATGTAGTCGGACGTAGATTACCTCGATTTAAAATGTTGCGGTTCCTGCCCTTGTTCCTCAGGGCATAAGGGGCGTCTGAAGACCCCAATGATTATGGGGCTTTCGGGAGGACTGTGACACACAGTGCAAACCAGGTTGTACCAAATGTGACAACAAAGAAGTGCGAACGTAGGGAAAGGAAGAGGCTTTGGCACGCAGTCCCCCGGTCGCTTGCATGCACGGACACCATTCAAACTGAACACAGCTGTTTGCGTTCCCCTTACAGCGAGGACGACAGTAACAGGACAGGCAATACCAACACCTAAAGGCTGGTCAACACTGACAGTAGAAGGGGAAATGTCTTCCTCGTCGAGGTGTCTGTAGGTGCTCCGCACCATGGGCACTGTGCTTCCAGCTCCGACACAACTGGCACACGATACTGTAAATTCTCCTCGTCCCCCGCTGCAAAAGAACCATGTGCCAAACCAAAGAGGCGAAACTAGGAAACCACTATTCCAAAACTTCACATGGGGTACGGCGTCAGTCCTGTCAAAAGAGTGACCGGACTCGTCGGTGCGGGGCTTCAGCTGTATGGCAAGCAACTCAACAGAGCTAAAAACCCCCGCTGGAACACCCGCATCGACGGTCCGAAATGCTCACTCCCAGAATAAGTGTATGCTATGCTCGCTACGTCCCCCTGAAGAATGCCAAAGAGCCCATAACAGCCAGTAAAACTGAAACGGCAACGCACTTGCTTGTGTGGGCACGTGGCGAGGGTCCCCCCTTTATTTCTCCAGGGCTATGAGCTAGGGGGAATCCTCCTAGCCCGCGCGCTGTCGACCGTTTTGGAGGGTCCCCCCCTCTCTTCAAGGGGCTGGTCAGGCCCCCCGGCCCATGGGGCCCCCCACGATTCGTAGGGCTTTCGCCCCCCCCTCTCTCTCTCTCTCTC